AGGGCCAGGGCAGGAAGAGAAGGTGCCAGACTGTGTTTTCCTCCTCTGCTCTCCTTTCTTTGGCATCATCACAGGCATTTGTCTTGCTGCAAGCAAATGATACGGGGCAGGGAGACGTGGAGTGGAAAGCCTGGCTCCAGCAGAACGGCTGGCTGGCTGCCAGATCCTTTCATATTCCACTCCTGCTCCTGTGGAGAGGGGAAAACAACACTTTACCTTGCTAGCCTTTTAGAGAGGAGCTGCTTCTGGCAATTCATTTGAATATTAAATGTCTGAATACCCTCCATGTTATCAAACCTCCCGGTTCAGGCAAACGGGGTTGCCTTTCTAAAGGGAGAAATCATGGAATGGCCTGGGTTGGAAGGGACCTAAAAGATCACCTCATTCCAACCCCCTGCCATGGGCAGGGACACCTTCCACTGTCCTGGGTTGCTCCAAGTTCTGTCCAGCCTGGCCTTGGACACTTCCAGGGATGGGGGAGCCACAGCTTCTCTGGGCAACCTGTGCCAGGGCCTCCCCACCCTCCCAGGGAAGAATTTCTTCCTAATATCTCATCTACTCTTGCTCTCTGTCCGTTTGGAGCCATTCCCCCTTGTCCTGTCACTCCAGGCCCTTGGAAATAGTCTCTCCATCCTTCTTTTGGGCTCCCTTCAGGGACTGGGAGGCCACAATTAGGTCCTTGCAGTGGTGTCACTCAGCTGAGCAAGGGAACAGCCAAGGACTTGCTGCTGACGTTTGCATGTGTAAAAATGTTCCTTTCCCCCAGAGGCATCCCCAGACAACAGCAGAGATGACTCTGCACTGCTTTATTGCAGTGCAATGAAAGCCACTATTTCACTGGAAACGAGAGGAGGATTTAGAATTTGCCACAAAAAAAAAGTGGCCAAAAAAAAGTGTTCAGTAATATTTCACCTTGAGTATTAGAGGTGAGAGAAGGAGCAGCAGAAAGGTTTCCTGCTGTGGGCAGAGATGCAATGCCATCAGCAGGGACATTGGGAACAGAGAGGGAAGGAGAGCTGGAGTGGCTTCAGCTGCAGAGTCATGTCAGGTTGGTGTCCCTTTCCCAGGCAGCTTGTGGAGCACAGCAGAGGATAAAATGAGAAACATCCCCTTTTCCCCTCAAGTTTTGAAAGTGGGGATGGGAGAGGGGGAAGGAGAGTCATCTGCAGGAATAAAAGAGGAAGTTTTCCCCTTAATTCTAGACAATTTTCAGCAAATGCCAGACATGATGTAAGAAGGCTGATGCTGCTGAAGCCTTGCTCAACTTGCCCGCCTGCAAATCCTGATGTTAGTAACTCTGGGAAAATGCTGATTTCACTGAAGTTCTTTTGTTGGCTTCCCTCTTCTTCAGGGAAAATGAAGGCTACAGCAGGGAAGGGTCATCAATTCACAGCTACTATTGGATCAATGTAAGAGAATCCAGCTCATACAGAAAAAGTGCAAAATACTGTGCCTAGGCAACCCCAGAAGGACCTGTATTGTTTATAGATCCTGGCTTTTCTTCCAATAAAAGCTGAAAACAACAAACAAGTCCCAGGCACAGACTGGGGATGCACAGAGGGCTCAGAGTTGAACCTGCTGTGGGGGCTGGTGATCCCACCTCCCATGGCACTGCCAGAACAGCCCAATGCAGGCAGTGCTGGAGGTGAGTTGCTCACTGGAGGTGAGCTATTCATGGCTGGTATCAGTCCACAAACATCATTTGCATGGTATGTGGTCAACTTGGAAACAGTCACTCATTCCCTAACCAGCACAAAGGCCGTCTGGGGGAGTGGGAATGTTAAAATAGATGTCCCTCTTCTCTTTTTCCTCTACTGCTTCCCCTTTGGATCTGATAAAGGGCTGGCTCTCTTCTACATCAGAGAAGTCGACTGTCTTCCAGGCTGCAGACAGCTCAGAGAGGACAGGACAGCACCTGCAGCCTGGCTGAGAGCCACCCAAGGTTGGCCTGGTGCTGCATTGGAGAGAGAATCACAGAATCCCAGAATACGCTGGGTTGGGAGGGACCCACCAGGATCCTCGAGTCCAACCCTTAGCCCTACCCAGGACCCTCCCCAAGAGTCACACCCTGTGCCCCAGAGGATCATCCAAATACTCCTGGAGCTCTGGCAGCCTTGGGGCTGTGCCCCCTGCCCTGGGGAGCCTGGTCAGTGCCCAACCACCCTCTGGGGGAAGAACCTTTTTCTAATATCCAACCTAAACCTGCCCCTGACACAACTTCAGGCCATTCCCTCGAGTATCAGGCAGGGATTTGGGGTCTACCTGTCCATGGGGAGAATCCTGGGCAGGGAGTCAGCATCTTTTATACAGGCAAGATCCACTACATTGAACGTTGGAATAGGGAGTGGGAAAAACTCACCTCGGATACCGCTGGATGCATGGGGTCTTGTGCTTCCTCCTGCTCTGCAAGCACTAAATTAATAAAAACCAGTCTGCACTGATCAGCATCATCTTACTGGGTCACCATGTTTCCAGCCATCCAGGCAGAGAAATGGGATTTATTCACTCACTGGATCTGCTGACAAACACGTTCCTGCCTTACCCTGCAGCGGCTCGGAGCCCTCACTGCCCCAGGAACAGCAAACACGACCTGCTGCTCACAGCCGGCGCCTGGGAGGACTCAGCCTTTAAATATTAAACCTCCACATGGAGTTGGAAGCACTGCAGCAGAGCTCTGCTGGCAGCAGCCTGCCCCAAATCCAGGTTTGTCAGATCCAGTGCTCAGCAATTAATCAAAGCCTTGGCTCCCTGCATGGAGCTGAGCAGAGGCAGCAGCTCGGCCGCACGCAGGGGCAGGGACTGCGTCTCCCCCTTGCTGCACATCTCACTTGGGATGTTGTGATTCCTTATCCCCGGCTCATCTGCAGCCTGTTCACTGAACTGGGCTAAGGACTGGCTCTGTGTTTCACAGCCTGGAGCAGGGATCGCTCGGAAGTTGCAGGAGCTTCTCTCAGGAGTGACAGTGAGGAAGAATCCCAGAGCCCAGAAAGCTGCTGCTGGTGGAAGCTGCACTCCAGCAGGAACCGATGTCTTGCCCCTCACGTGCATAAAAACACAAGGGAAGAAAGCAGAGGAAGGAAATCCAGTAGCATCTGAAGTTAGGCACAAATAAAACACTATTGCAAAGCTTGTAGGACTTGGAATATCTGGATCCTTATTAATTTAGTAATTCCCATTTCATGCACAGCAAAAACACCTCAGCTTCTGTGGAAAACACAGTCAGTGGATTAGGTACCAGAAGAACCTCAATGCCATCACCTTTTTTGTTTCAGAGGGAAAACCCAGCAGGGGCTGGGCCAGTGCAGATTCCTGTCCCATTTCCAGCTGGATTCCCCAGGGGCTGTGCTTGCCTGGCAGCTGCTCCTCAGCACTTCGCCCTCAGCTGCTGCACAGCTCAGTGGTAGCTCCTCTCAGAACAGGACCAGGGGACCAGGGTTGGCTCCAGAACCAGCTCCTGCTGCTGACAGGGCAGCCAGGGACACTCTGGGCACAGCCCCACTCCAGTTTTGCTCCCTCCCGTCAGTCGTTGTGTAATCACTGAGCTACTTTAACAGGAAGGAAGAGGCTTGAACACCCAACCTACGTTCAGTACGTGCAGAGAGGTGTTTTGGTAAATCAAAGGAGTTGTGAACATGAAGAAACTCCACTTGCTCACACAAATCCTGGAACACATTCCTTCCCACTTCAGCTCTTCCCACCACTTCAGCCCCTGGCACATCAGTGTGTTGAGGTTATCAGAGCCTGTGAGGGCTCCAGCTGCTGGATGGTCCAACACCACTAACCCATTCCTAAGGAGAGCTTTCATAGGATCATCACAGAATCATGGAATGGTCTGGGCTGGAAGGGACCCTAAAGCTCATCCAGTTCCAACCCCTGCTACAGGCAGGGACATCTCCCACTAGACCAGGTTGCTCAGAGCTTTAGTCAACAAGAACTTAAGTAGAAGCCCATGAGAAAGTGATGCAATTACACTTGTAATGCTGGGATTAAAAAACCAACTAACACGACCTGTTGAGTTCTAGATGGGTTTAGTTTTACTCCTCAGGTGGCTGGTGGCAGCTCAGGAAATAGGATGCAATTAAAAAAAAAAAATCTGAAGAGACTGGATTTCAAAGTCAGAGCAACATCACAAACAGTGCTCAGATGATGTGACTGTTCCAGCACGAAAAAGTGGTCAAGAGATGAAGCGATGATTCCTCAGAAACAGCTTCTCTAGGACAGGCAGGACCCGGAATCCAAACTGCATCATGGAGCTGGTTTAAGTTCCAGGGCATTTGGCAGGGTTTTAACTCACTTCAGTGAGCAGAGGCTCCATCCCACCGCACTCTGCATCCAGGTTCCAACCCACCCACAGCAACATTCACACTGCTGAGAATTCCTACAGCTCCTGTATCCCCATTAGCAAGATAAATGCTAATGCTGAGCATTAACTGCATAAACAAGGATGACTTGGGCCGAGTATTTCCGGGGATTTAGTGTCCACAGCACACCAGCCAAATCCGAGGGCTGTTGTGGAAAACGAAGCATCTCAGCCCTATAAAAACCGACAAAGGAGAAATCAATGTTTTGCTGCAAAATACTGCTTCATACTGCAGCCAGTGACCCGTTTGTCCAGGAGGCAGAGGCTGGCTTAGTCAGAGGAGAGCTTAAAAAAAAAGCCAGTAAAATCAACTCTGCAATACTGAAATCCATAATTCATAGAGACTTGTCGCAGAGCACACCCGAGTGCCATCAATATTTTAAATATTGAGCACCAAACTGGCTGTCAAATGCAAGTCAGCATTTTCCTGGTGCCTCCCTGGTGGGGAGAAAGTCATCAGGCCCAGTAGAACCTGGAGGAGCCCTTTTAGCAAGGAGTTTGCTTGACTCTGTTACATATTTTATCTGAAACACGAGATGTGGCAGGAGCAAACCAGCTGGCCTTTGCCAACCCCCAAAAAGAGTCAGTTGGCTGCCTCCACTCATTATTAATTTGAAAAGATGATTTCATCACACCAACATGAGGCTGTATATGTTTATTCATCGTCAGTAATTTTTGTACACAAGGCAAATATTAATAGCTGAAAGGCAACACTTTTGGAGAGTATGTACAGAGCAATGTACAAGCAAGTGTAAGGTTTTAAACTGTGAATCAATTTATAAAAAGGAAGTGATGCTTTTTCTTCTAAGACCTCCCTTAGAAATAATTTATTGCCAATCTTAAACTAAAGCAAGGAGAAAAAAAAATTTACAATAAAAAGTAGTCCCTGGAAAGTTTATAAAAAGTTAAACAACATATAAAATTGTAAGCCACAAACATTTATACAAAGCTAATACAAATCTTGGTTTTGTTAAAGATCTATGAGGTTGTTACAAAATATATTTTTACATAAAGGCTTCACGTAAGGTAAGCTCTCACTGCTACTGAAAGCGCAGGAAAGCGGTTTTAAATAGTCTGCAATTCAACTTATTTTCAAGTACAACGCAAAGAAATTGCAAAATGGCACTGTATTGCAATGCTGTGAAATTAAAAACTATGTTAATGGTACCATCAGAGAGACAAGACCTGTAAAGTGAAGTGGTGAACAACTGGGCACGGCAGGAGAATTCGGATGGGGCTGGGACAGGAGTGGTGGTGGGAAACGGAGCTTCTGCAAGAGGAATAACCAGGGGGGTGTTCCTGGACACACACCAGGAATCCTGTCCCCAGCCCAGGGTCAGGAAGCTTGGAACACCCACCCAACCTGATCAACCTGCTGATGGGCAAAATGTAAAGCTACTTAGAGATGAGCCCAATAAACAGCCTTTGAGATCAACCTGACTTCTTTCTAAGAGCAGTTATTCCAGAAGAAAGCTGAAGTTTCCCACAAACTGATGGCTTACGCTCCCACATGCAATATATTAAAAAATGTGAAATTTTCTCAAGCCCTGATGAACAGCCACAGTTTTTAGGTATCAATCATCTCATTTAACACCCTGCAGGAGGGAACAGTCGCTGAAACACCAATTTCACCTTCAAGTACAGGGAGGTTGTACAAGACAGTGGTTCATCTCCACAGGGTCAGTGATCTTTTGAACAGAGCTCACTCCAGCAGAGAACTAAGAAATTTAGGGAAACTTGATTTTCTGGAAAACTTGATTTTCTACCTGCTTTCCCACCTTCACCAGAAGTGCATCCCAACCTTGTACCACAGACTGGTTTCCATGAGGAAGCTTCACTCTCACTAGACAACTGTCACTTGTTTGGTTCCTTGTACCAAAATTATGTCCTGTAATAAAGAAATGATATTTAGAAATAAATCTGAAGGGAAATACAACCGTCCATGCTGTGCTCCATTCAGGGAGCTGATGAAGAGTGAGTCTGAAGGTGGCCAAGGGCGATGATTTGGGGGTTTTGGCCATATTTTAACAAAGGAACCATGTAAACAGGTACTTCCAGGTGTGTTGTCTCACCCCCCCTCTCAAGAACAGGGAGTGGGAAACCCAAGTGATCTGACTCAGTTATTTCATTAAATCAATTCATTTCTGCCTGAGATTCATATAGTGCTTATCTACCAGGACCTACAAGTGACCCAGCTCTGGGGTCCCCCCTGCTCTCTTACAGGCCCTGGGGTTCACAGGGACAGTGATCTGAGAGGATTAAAACCAAGGATTTTTGGGGTGGTTCAGAGGAGAAGCTGCTGAATTATGATCCCCACTTTGGCCAAGGTCAGAAGTGCCCAGTGCCTTGGTGATCCTGACTGCATCCTTAGACTGACATCAGTTTGAAAGATCTTCAGTAAATTAACAGGTCCCTTGACACAAAATTCATCATTATTATACATAAATTTGTTTAAATAAATCCCTGGTAATCGCCCCATCATCCACTACCAGTTTTTAGTCTTTTCTGCAATCATCTGGTCTGACATCCTCCAAAGCACATACTGCAGACCTCTCCAAATTAACTGTTTTATTCAGAGACAAGTCTCTTTTTTGAAAAGAAACTTGTTCAGACAACTGTCAGCAAAGGAAAAAAAACAACCCAACTCCTCATCTTGTTGATAGGGTGGGGCATGGATTTGTTCAGGTTCTGCTTTCCAACACTGGACTTGGAGGCCACCAGAGGTTTGTGTCTGCTCATGGAGCACTTAAAGCCCAACCAAATCAACCATTATCCTTCTCCAAAGGATGTCCAGTCCTTGAAAGAGCCTCACTAGTCTTTCCTGAGGTCTCTAGCTCATCCTCCTTCTTGAATTGCTCACATAAATCAGAAATAATCCATGTCCAGTACAGAGGCAAAATCTACATTAAATATCCCCATCTAAGATTCTATTCATCCTCCCGACATCAGTGCTGCATCCAGACTTTAGGATTATGTTTAGATTCTGCACTGTGACTTCTCCCAAGCTCTTTTCAAAGTTCTTTCCTCCCAAGATAGTGCCTGATAACCAGAATCGCAGACTAACCTATGGCTACTCATTGGATGATATAAAAAAATAGAGGTCTTTCAAAGCACCTAACTAAATAAAAATACACTATTCCCCCCTCTGCTGCCAGGAGAACGAGGTACAGAGATGTTAATACAACTTACAATCACAGTAAGTAAAGGCTAAGTTCAGGAGACAGGCAGCTTTCCTATGTCCTGGCAGGGACACCGTGTCCCACCGCTCGCCACGTGCAGGGGATGTGAATGAGAATTCACTGAGGGATTGGCCACCATCATGATCCACAGGAATTGGTTCCATGGGGCAAAGGGGCAGTTGAACTGCCCCCATGACACAACAGCCTGGGGGAAACGTGGCAGCTGCACTGATTTCTGAAACACAACAGCTCACTGTCGTTTTGCAGAGGGCCGTGGGGTACGTGAGCACTGCTTTATTTTCATGGGGTTTTATTATTATTATTATTATTTCACATGGCAACACTAACAACCACCTCCCCCCCAAAATAAAAAAAATAAACAAAGTTGCAATGGAACTTTGGGTAAAACAGTCACAAGCAGCACTCTGGGAGATGCTGTGCAACGTATTTGGCTCAAGTACACTTAGGATTGCTTAGACCCCACTGGAAAGTCTCAGAAAGAACCTCATCAGCAGAAGCACATTCTGCTGGGACACACTTTTTTTTTTTTCCCCAGAAGAAAACATTCACCTCCACGGTGTCAGCTACACAAGGCCTCTGCTGGGAACTCATAAGGCCACTGAAAATACGCAGAGGAGGACAGAACACAAGGAGGCACTTAGGTTTGCAAGTACTTCTCTCCATCACCAGGGGCTACTGACTCCGAGGAGGCACCTTGGAAGGAGCTGGGAATTAAAACAAACCAGTGCTAAGTTAAAGCGCTTCGAGAACGGGTTACCCACGTGGAACATCTGTTACCTACATGGAACATCTGCTTAGTGAAGATATGAAACACAAGCTGAGCTTGCTCCCCCTTCCCACATCAGAATGTCCAGAGGACCAGACCAGAGTGCTCTGTGCTTTGCCATGGCTCCGAGACGTACGGACAACGCCGGAGTGAATCCGTGTACTGTGCCAACCACTAATCCCTCGTCCCTGGACTCAGCACTTCCTGCCAGACATGTCTGAAGCTTCCAATTTTAAGCATTTTTAAAGCATCTCCTATTCAAACCCAAGGCTAAGGTTTACACTTGAACAGGAAGTACGTTACGCCCAGGGATCCACGCTTCAAACAGATGATTCCAGCAAGGGATTGATGGGATTTCTAACCAAAAGTAGACCTGAGAAATCATAAGTCAGCTATGGTATCACAGTCTTTGTAATGAAGTTAGATGTGAAAAGTTTCTCCCCCCCACCCCTAAATTACTGCCACAGTCTAAAAATTGCAACAATTTCATGGAAGTCTGGACTTGGAATTCTGAATTTTCTAGGATGATATACATGTTTGTAAAAGGTCAAATTTACCACTTTACAGGTAACTTAGACACAGATCTGCTATAAAATTACAACTTGAGTCATCTTGAAGCTACACTGGAAGAGATTTAAGCCTGAATTTCTGCAGAAATTGGCAATAATGTGTTCAGCAGCAGCTTTTAGCCACATATCAAGAAGTCTGACAGGATCTGGATTTCTCTACTCCTGCTGTAAACTTCTAGTTAAAAAAAAACAACCAACACACGAGAGTTACTGAAACAAGAATGTCTTTCTGCACATCACTGTAACATGAGCTGCTTGAGGTTGTCGTGCAGGATGGTATCCTTGACATCACGGAAAACTAGCCGGATGTTCTCTGTGTTAATAGCAGTGGTGAAGTGGTGGTACAGGGGCTTCTGCTGCTGGTCCCGGCGTTTCGTGCGAAAACAATCCACCAGGAATTTTTGGACATCTGTTAAGCAGTGGGGATCCCCTTCGAACTCTGGGAAATAGTCTTTGATGCTCACTTTCTGTACTTTTTCCTCAAGCAAGTCCGTCTTGTTTAGGAAGAGGATGATTGAGACGTTGCTGAAAACCCGGTTATTGACTATTGTTTCAAAAATGTTCAGGGACTCGGTGAGGCGGTTTGTTTGCCGGTCCTCCATGAGCACCTGGTCGAATTCACTGGAGGAGACGAGGAAGAGGATGGACGTGACGCTGTCGAAGCACTCGAACCACCGCTTCCGCTCCGACCTCTGCCCGCCCACATCGACCATTTTGAAAGGGACATTTTTGATTTCGAAGTCGTACTCGTGGATCCCTTTGGTGGGTCTTCGTGCCAGCAGGATGTCTTGCTGGGAGGGAAGGTAATCCTAAAAAAAAAAAAAGGTAAAGGAGAGTTTGCAGATTAGGCTGCAATCACGGGCACGGTGGAGCTGCAATGGAGAGAGCAGGTGGCAGAGGAACAACACGAGGTTTTCAATAATCAGACCTGTATTTGCATGCTAACACTGGAGCTTTTGGGAAAGATCTGGAGTCCAGAACAGGAAACACATTAATATTAAATCAAAATATGTACCCCAGAGAAATTAGGCTCTCCATGACAAAGATCCATAAATAACCTGGGAGGTGAACCAGCAATTCCTCATGCCCGTTTTCCCTTGTTCTGGATTACTCTGTGCTTTATTCATCCTCTCCTCACCAAGCTGGGGAACACGCTGGTTGCCAACACTGCAATGCAGCAAATGGGTTCTAAAGCAGGTTTCCCAAATCAATAACCAGGGTATATCCTGTTCCAACTGTGGGCTCTCCGTTCCTCCCAGGCTCTCCTGCATATTGCACGACTGCTTCCAGTGAAAAAGAGCTGCTCACTAAGTGATTTTAAGGCAATCAATTATGCCTGAAAAGCAAAACTTAAGCAGCTTATTGTGTTTGTGCCACGGATCTTTTGCATCCAGCTGCCTCGGTCCAAAAAGTCACTCTATTAGCTGTGTGCCACACCAGTGAGCTCACACTGCCTGGCTTTGTCCAAAATTCACTGTGCCATGAGCAGAACAGGAGAAGAACCAGGCAGCTGGGGACAGCAGCCTCTTCCCAGAGCACAGCCTGGAGGGCACACAGCTGCACCCTGAACTTCTCCAGCCCACCTTTCCCCAGAATTCAAGAGGCAGGAAAAGTGCTTTTTTACTATTTTTTGACTGTTATATGAACATCATCAATGGATGCAGATGCTCCAGGATGAGGAGCTCTTATTAGTCAGCTTTTGACAGCATGAAATTCAAGACTTGGACTGGGGATTTCTTCATTCCTAGAATTACACTTTTGCATCTGCTCCAAGCCCTTCTGCTATCTGCAAGGAGCATCTCTCCCAGACAGCTGGCTGTGCTGGAGCTTAAAGCCTTGTTGTTCACTTGTTATGGAAACTGTTCCTCACATTTTTCCAGCATTTCTCACAACTTCAGAGAGCGCTGTTTAGGTTTTGGAATTTCAGTCTCCTCTTAGTGAATGATCTATGATATTCCTTTGACAGTGCCAGTTCCCAGACTTGGAGCTTTTATAAAGATGTGTGAGACCAGGGTCCAGAAAGTCTGATTCAAGCAGTCGGCTGGGCGGGGGAACAAACAAAACTCCATGGCCATTTCAATACTTGTATCCCAAGTTTAAGGCAGCTGGGCAAGTTCAAGCCACAAAAATAAAATCTAAAAATCATGGAGTGCAACATTACAAAAATTCAAGGATCATTTTGCTTTACCTTGTAGGCTCCAAAGTGAAACCAGGGAGAGATGGCTTTGTCTGAGCTCCGGGTTCCTTTATCCGAGCTGCCCATGACTCAGGAGCTGATTTTTATCGTGGCACAAATTACAAAGCAGCTCTGAGGCACAGGATCCCCACCCTGGGCCTTTGCTGCAGCACTGCTACACATCAAACCCCACACCACCTAAACCTGCAGGAGAGCTCAACAGCTAAAGCAGGATCAAGTTCTCCCCAAACTGAGCAGCAGATGTGCTGCCACTCCCTTCTCCGAGTAAATTAAGCAACTTTAAAGGGTGGTAAGACTTTTCATTAAAGTTATCTTGGGTCTTTCCTACCAAAATTGTAGAGAGGAAAACAATCAGAGGAATAGAGCAGTAACTGTATCAAATGTCACTGGGCACATGTGAAGGGATTTTGAACAAAGCTGACTGTCAACACGTAGGCAAGAGTGTCACAGGTTCAATTCTTATTTCAACTTTCAAATGGGGATATGAATTCTTTTGTTGTTCAGGAAGTTAGTCTCAAGTTCTCAGAACAAAAACAGAAAGTCTTAGGAAAGCTCAGGAGTGACTGAAATTATTAAATCATGTAAATAAATAAAAGCAATTAATATAATAGGCAAAGGCATATGTACCTTCAATACTGAAACAAGAGCACAAAGCAAACTCTCCTGGGAGTTGACCTGTAATGTTTATTCAGTAAAGCTTTCAAGAACAAGGAGCTTATCCCTGGAATTCCTGACAAATTCCCTCTCAAGTACTATTACTCATTGAAAACTCCTACCACACTTGTAACCACAAACAGAATCCTTTCAAGTGCTTTCAAGTTCTACACGCACAGAAGACACACAGAAGGCACACCATGGTCTTAAAGGTCCCTTCCAACCCAAACCATTCCCTGACTCTCTGTTTTATCCTGGATCTTGGCTACTCTGATGCAACAGGCAGCAAAGGAGTGCTCTGCAAGACAAGTGTGGGTATCCAGCCATCATCTGGCTACAGGAAACCAAACAGAACAACTCCTGAGAAACCTCCCAGTATTTTAGTTATCTTTTTGAAGGATGGTTATGTTTTTCTCCCTCTCCAGATCCTTGGGATACTGGCAGCTTGCCACTTGCTGGCCCTTTTCTCAGTGTTGATCCCATTCTCCACATCTGAAGACTGCAGCATTAAGTGAATATTTTCCTTGGATGGCAGTGAGTATTATTTTCCAAGTTCTTTCAGTGTTTTGCCATTGTCAATCAGTGTTTTTCCTGCAAGTATCCCCATACAGACACTGATTTGGAACATGTGCCTCCTTCCTGAATTATCTCCTTCCCCAAATCCACTGCAGTCTGTTTCTTCTAAAGGAGTCCTTTTGGGTATCACATCACAGTTTGCCTAGTTAAAATTACAATTTAAGGCATGACTAAGATCCAATCACAACATGGAAAGCAACATCTTTCTGTGAGGTATTTTGAATACATATAGTCTGCACTGGCAGTTGAAACACCAACAAACAGTTGCAAGGAATCCAAGCGATCCCACACCCGTATGCCTGTCAGATACTCTTTTTTTTTTTTTGCTGATTGATTAAATCTGAACATTAAGTTCTTTTCCCTCAGTGCTGTTATCAGTTCCTTTTTGGCAACAGGCACACGAATGGCAGATCTGTGTGTTTATAAGCAATTTAGTTGCAGGTCAGCCCAGTTGCATCAGATAAGAACAGTAAAATACTTACATTAATACAGCTTGGGGAAATATTCATTAGATAAATCTTGCACATAGATAAGAATAAACCAGAAGAACCTATCAAATCTTTCACTCAGGAACAAAACTTAGTGCTTTTTTTCCTCAAAGACTTAACATTTTCTACAACAGAAGATCCTGATGAGTCTCTCTGATTCTCAACACCATTTGGTCTAACTTGAAGCTGGAAAAGCTGTAATTCAGAGTTCAGCATTCCCATGGCAACATCACATTATAGTAAGTGTGTGTATATAAAAACATTAAAAAAACTTAACTAGTGACTAAGTTTTACACTTTAATCAAAGAATGGACCAAAGTTTCTAAATAAAGAACTCTGAAATGAAGCTGCAAAACTCTTTGCTCAACTGTGCTGGGGAAGAAAACCAAACCATTCAAAACTCAAGTGGCACTGGATTCAAAGACCACCAGAAATCCACCACTGGCAGAGAGTTTAGCAGTTTAATTAAAGCAAGTGCAGTTCTTCTCCTGAGTGCAGGTCTTATAACTCCAGACCAAATCCTAACTCAGAGAGCAAGTGCTGGAGTTCCCGAGCCAGAGGTCTGGGAAGCGCCTGTGCTCAGGTCAGAACAATGACAGTTCAAAGCAGAGAAATAGCCTGGATTAAAATCAAATTTTTATCTGGTAAAGGCAAAAAAGAAAAATGAAATTAAGCATGATGTAACAGGGCTCAATTGAAGTGGTTTGGATTCCTTCAGTTGTTAGCCATCAGCTGGAAATGACTATAGAGAAACTGCCTCCCCACAGAGTTCAAGCACCATCCCATTTTAAAGGCAGTTTTTCCACATGCCATTCCTGCAACACACAGCCCAGACTATCAGCATGCAACTTCACTATCCAAGCAATAACTAACAGTTCTATAAAAAAAGTATTCTACAGAAATTTCAGCTTTTTCCTCAGAGAACAGATTTTATTCTTTAGTGAATGGACACTACTGACCTGTGACTGATTTAACTCAGTGTTCCTAAATGGATATGTAAACCCAAACCCAGTCATTTTTGGGTATCATTTAGTGTTGAGGGACTACTTTAATAGTTTTCTGACTGGACAATCATTTGTAACTTGTTTTTTGCTCAATGTTGACAGAACTTTTATTTCCAGAAAGTCTCCTGGCCCTTGCACTGCCTTGTGTTTTTGACATGTCAGTGATGAACTGCTGAGATAATGCAACAGTAGAAGTTAACTAAAGATAAAGTTATTAGAGTAGACACTGATTACATTTCATCTACTTAAAACCCAGAGATCACAAAGACAACTTAAAACTCAAGACTGGAAAGAAAAACAAAAAAAGAACTTACTTGTTCTCCAAGTTTATCCAAGTTGTCCAAGAAATACTTTACAGATTCCCCCTAAAAACAAATCAAACAGTTATTTAAATAAGCGACGTACTTGATCCCAATAGTTTACATTCTGAAGTCCAGATAATTTACCAAAATCTACATTTAAGTGTTGTAAGCTTTAATCACTGCCATTTTTAAAAGCAGCTAAACTAAGAACACAACTGATGATTTATTCTTAGGCCGGTTAATATTTAAGCTTAAAAGCATAAGAAGGCACATTTATAATAGTTACATTCTTTCCAAGTTTAGACTTGATAAATAAATCCAAGTATTATCCACAGGGAGCATCAATGAAGCAGCCACACCTTCCTTATGAAAAGAAACATTCAATCCCTCTAAGGCTTTGCAGTGTGTGCACACACAGACATTCAGGTATGGGGATTAATCACTGGAGAAAGTTAATTTATAACTGCAGTGCCACACGATCCATTCCCACAGGTACTTCCCTGGAGCACAGGGAATGATGAGCACAACAGAGGATGAGAAACCACAACACACGAAGCCTTTTACTCAGGTTTCCCATCAGACACCAAGCTGGACCAGAATTCCTTCCTCTGGGAGTAACGAGCAGAGCTCCAGGGTGCTGTACTGCAGGGGATCACATCTACTGTGCAGGTATTCCAGGTTATCCTCTGGATCCAAGCCAGCACAGTCCTGGCAAAGAGTAACTGCAGTTTGTAATCCCTCCACTAATGCGGAACTAAAGAGTTTTCCATGCTAAGCCTGAACTACAGTCAAGCCTGCAGGACTCCGTTGGGGTGCTGGGATTAGAGAGGAATTCTTGCATGGATACTGCTGCACCTGAATTCAACTGCAGCAGGTAATGTACTGACAGAATTCCTTGCAGAGGAAAGCAGCACCTCTTTAGGGTTCTCAGCATCCTCACAGAAGCACAAACTGCTTCCTTTTGAAAGCTCCTGATGACCAGCTGTAACTTATTTACTTTACAGTAAGTGCAGAAAAGAAACCACCTGTGTTTTCACTCTGCAGATGGAAGAGCAAGAATTCTGAGTTTTCTTGATGAGAAATTCAAGCAGCATCTGAAACCAGGGTGATACATCTAATCCAGACAAGTGAATTAGGACAGGAGTTACACCCTGATAATGACTTCCCCTCACTTCAATCTGAACTCTGAAAACTTATCTAGACTGAATATCAAACCTCACTATTAAATTGTGCCACCTAAGCATCTACCCTACCTAACTAGGGGAGGGTAAATAACAGGCCAAAAAGGGTTCTGGCAGACACATAAGCAAGGTATTTTTGCAAGTTTTCCAGGTACTAAAATAAGTTACATAACACAAGGAGATACCACACCTTGAAGTGTGCAATTTGAACATCAACTTTTAATGAGGCAAGACTGGGGCTCTGGTTGGAACATGCCTCATGCTCGACACACCTGCAGGGAAAGACTCCAACACACCTCCACCACCTTACCTTACCTTCTGTTTGGCTCAGCTGTCCCAGTTTTCTCTGGGATGACAAACTGCAGCAATAACACTAACCAGTTTAGTGGCACTCAGCAACTACTGCTTGCCATGACAGCAGTATTGTACAACTACATCTTTTTCAGCACCCATTCTAGCCTCAATCCTGTAAGGAAGGTGTGCAGGGAAGAGCATTCCTATTTCACAGAAAAGAAACAACCTTGATGCACAAATCCATCAAGCTTCCCAAGCAGGAGTAACAGGATCAGAATTCAGGCCTTCCAAGTGCTAAAACCACTGTCTGTAGATGAGTATTAGGGCAAAATAAAATTTAAGGTCAGATTTAATTTCTTTTTTAGGTGCCAGTAGGAGCTGGCAACCTGCCCTTCCCCACAGGGCTACATACAAATCAGCCAGATTCCAGACTCATTAAGTGGAGGTATTTATTCTAGAATACCTGGGCCTCAGAGGCTGTAAGTATTTGTGTGTGTGTGTGTAGGCAAACATGTATTTTCATCTCAGACAGCTCTTTTTTACACTACTTACAGCAATGTCTACTCCCTAAAGAACCATTAACTCCACAGCACTGGAATACATAAGTGACTACCCTTCCTTTAAGTCTCAGGGCTCACTGCTACTGCAACGGATGGAGCAGTTGGGACAGACAAGTAAACTACAGCCTGGAAAGGGCAGAAAACACCCCCCAGGAGCAGCTTCCTAAAAGAGGGGATTTCCTGAAATCACAAATGCAAAATACAGGGGCCTGCAGCGACAGCAACGCTCCAGAGCCACGTGTCCCACAGCAAAGTCACTGCTGGGAGGAACCGGCTCTGCTTCCTGGGCTGTCACCGACCAGAGCCAACAGCAGACAAGGATCAGGGTGGCCATGCTGAAACTCAAGAGATTGAACTATAAAATCAACCAGTTACAAGGATAACACAGCTGATACAGCAGTGACATAACCAGCTTCCTGCCTGCACATCATCAGCTCCATCACCGGGCTCTCACCTCGTGAAAATCTATTCAGACAACAAACCCAACACACCAAGTGCCACCAACATGACTCGACTCTGCATCCAAGGACAACAGTTGTTCAATCATTGGATTTGCACAGCATCAAGAACCTTGAACAGCTTCAAACTCCTCTGTTCTTCCACCTCACTCCAGCCACCCTTCCACACCACAGCTGCAAGGCAGGGCCCTGACTAGTGGGGATTTTCTGTCTGCCCTGGCCACGTTCGTAGCAGCAGCCTGAGCTCTGCTAAATACAGACACTGCTGAGCAGCAAACCACCTCAGTGAACAGATCCTTATCAGAATGCACTACCATAGAACCAAAGAGTTTTGACCCATTTAAACAAGCTTCAAAAGGGTAACATCACAAAGCAGCCAAGCAAAACTGCCAATCCCTTTCCGAAGGGTGAATTTATGTATTTTTTGCAAAAATTAAGAGAAAACACTGAAAAACCCAGAACACAACAAACAAGGAAAGACTTAATGCCACCAAATTTTAAAAATTGGTAAGAAAATGATCCAGTCACATCCCTGTAAAACAGATCCAAAGACTACTTGGTAGATACAGAACTACATCTCCCTCAGGAAATTCATGACAGTGAGTGTATTTAAATGTCGGTATTCAACAGACACTTGTCACACCTAAAATTTCCCTTCAGACAAACTGTAAACTCTCTGGTTTACCCAAGATGAGTAGAAAAAAGAGTCTGGGTTTCCCCCCTCTGCCCCACTAACTCCAGTGTGGCTCACCACGTCCAGCCCTGCCACGTGGCTGCCCCTCAGTCAACCTGTGGCTGTCACGTCACAAAGGAGCCACACCAAGGACAAAATCTGTACAGAACTGAGAAACTGCAGGATCTGCCCCCAAGAAAAAAAACTGCAGCTCTCCATCACATTCCTGTTGTCTTCACACCCACGTTCTGTGAGCACATAGGATGGAAATTTAAAGATTAGCTAAAAATATATAGTGATGTCCCCAGAACAGGAAGGACCTTGACCTGTTGGAGCGAGTCCAGAGGAGGCCACCAAGATGATCAGAGGGATGGAGCACCTCTGCTGTGAGGAAAGGCTGAGGGAATTGGGAATGTTCAGCATGGAAAAGAGAAGGCTTTGGGATGACCTAATTGTGGCCTTCCAGTACCTGAAGGAGCCAACATGAAAGATGGAGAGGAACTATCTACAAAGAGCCTGGAGCGACAGGACAGGAGGGAATGGCTTCCCGCTGACAGAGTAGGTCTAGATTGGATATTAGGAAAAAATTCTTGCCTGTGAGGGTGGTGAGGCCCTGACAAGAAACTGTGGCTGCCCCATCCCTGAAAGCCTTTAAGGGCGGGTTGGACAGGGCTTAGATCAACCTAGTCTTGTGGAAAGTGTCCCTCCAAACCCTTCTGTGATTCCATGTGATAGTCTTTAACTAGTCACAGGTGAACTTCTTTTTTTAAATGCGAGTGAACCCTTTAAAAGTAATTTTTACAGTTGAGCAGTTCTGAACTGCAAACCTCTGAGGCTTGGCTGAAGGTGAGCAGCGACCTGTGACACTGCAGACACCAACCAGCCCACGGCACCTGACTCGTGCCCTGCCCTGCACTTAAAGCACAGCCCAAAGATGCCAGTACAAGTGACAAAACCAAGCACAGGCTTGAGCACATGAATACTGATGTACTGCAATAAAGCAAACTTCTTGAACAACCCCCCCAGTACAATAGAATGAACCACCTACGCATCAGCTCCAAAGACCTTCCGGTGTTACATGAGAGTGCTTTGGCTGTTTTAAACATTATTGTATCACATTGGGATATCAGATTTTAAGCAGTCCCTCTGACTGCTTGTAGCAGATGCCCTTTTTTGTTCAGATGGAATATACACATCTCGGCTGCAGGCCTTCAGCCTCCTCCTGATTCAGAAATGCATGTAAACCACAGGAAGTTGACTGTTAAATAGCTTTATTCATAACTGTCAAGTATTCCATTTTCAGAAAGGTTTGAGTCAAACCAGCCTGTGTGCCTCCTGGAGCCTTGTGATCCTCACTGACAGAGCCAAGGCAGTTCATCATGAATGTGATTTACAAGAAAACACACCTAAATCATGCTCCTATCAAGGTGATGTTTCCACAACAGCTTCCCTTACAACGCTGCATCTATTGTAACCACTTGCCAGTGCCTGTACAAGGAAATATCTCCAGTTTTACAACTCGCTCTCTCTCCAAAGACATGGTTACAGCACAGTTGGTGATTTACCTGCTGGTAAAACCAGAGCAGGTATCTTTTATAGCTGAAACACAGCACAAAGATCACTGTCTAGTCAGTGCGTCAAGCAAAGTAACCACAGAAATATTTTTTGGGGAGGGGCAAAAAAAAAAAAAAGGACTACATGAAATACACACCAGATGAACACATCTTTTAAACCCAGGAAGTGGCACCAATTTATTTGGTTTCCATGAAAACAATGTCAGCAATCTAAATATGATTTGCTGAAACCTTAGCACAGCCAAATGGCTTTTTAGCTCTTCGAGGGGAATGGGGACACTGCATTTTTTCCAAGAGCAATCGTTCAAAAAGGAAAGAGGAAA